TTTGAATTTGGAAAGGGTAATAATCGAGCCTAGGGCATAGAAACAGATCCAGACTTTGTTTTTTTTATCTATCTTTCACCTAGAACATTACTTTTCCTCTATCTTTCATCTTGGTTTGGATTTTTGGAGGATTTAAACTTATTTTCTAGCTTTGGATTTGGATAGCTCATTGATTCATCGACTTTGGATTTGGTATTAATCGTAAGCTTTTCTTTTCATCTTGTTCATGAATGTGATGGCTTCTTTTATGATGAATGCTTGTGTTGATGTTGAGATGAGTGACTAATTCCATAAGTTAGGGATAGGGGACGATTGTTTCGGTTCGTTTTCAATTACGTGTTTTATAATTGTTCAATCCTTGCGAGTTGTGCATATTCTAGGGTTAGTTAATTGATCACCAATCTAACCTAATCAATTGACGTTAGAACCGAAAGGGGAGGCGTCGGTCGACTTAGGCTCGTTTGGAATAGACTTGTTCGTTATTGTATTGTCTATGTGTTGTAGGGCTTGATGAGTTACTCGTGTATGTCCACCTTCTTGTTACGAAGAGTTATTGAAGGTGAACCTCTATACGAGTAGGCGATTCAATTCCCTTAACCGAGCAATTGATTGCCCGGTAATTGAGTCAAGAACCGAAAACGATTGTCCCCGACTCCCTAACTCCTTTATAACCAAGTTAATCGTTTGTTTGAAATTCCGTGTCTCTTGCTTTAATTTTCGTAGTTGATAAATCAAATCTCCAACTTGAATTAGAGTGTTTAGGACTTGTTTCTTATTTTCGTGTGATTGAATATTCGCATAGAATAATCCGACTAACCTTCCTCGTGACACGACCCGATGTCGAATCTTTGGATTCTACTCCGGTTAAAAACTACCTACAACAATGATCTTTCCCACAAATTGTATCTCGTTTCTCTCGTATCAGTAATCTCTCCCCTTCAGGGGCAGATCTAGCTCATAATATCAGTGGAGGCCTACTTATTTCTAGAAAATAATTATAATATCCCGTAATAAAGTATAAATACAAAATAGACATTAATAGAAATTCTTATAAGTTTTCATAACTTGGTACGAGGTTGCAAAAGAGTAGACTTACTATTAGTAGAAATTTTGAAGACAAAAAAAAAACACATGTAGATCTTTAATAACAAAATTTAAATTTTAATTTTTTTTAACAAATTTGGAGATTCTTATGCCAAAATATATATAAATCCTATTTTTTCGTATCAATTTTTTTTTTACCAAAATCTGAATCTTATTTTTTTGGTATCAAGTTTGGATATTCATGAAAAAAAATTCAAATACAATTTAATTTAAAAACCATGCAAATTGGATACAAATTTTGGAAATAAATAGTTGTATAAACAAATGCAAATCGCCTCTTTTCTAGCTCGGTTCTTAACAAATTCTTCCAATCTACTTGAATAATATTTTCTTTAAAAAAAATTGTTAAAATTGGATAAATCATTTGCAATTTTTATTTTTTTTTAAAAAAAAAAAATAGACGGGATATACATTCAAAATTATATCCTTTTTTAGTAACAAAATCATTTCATCTTTGACATTTAAAATCAAACTTTATCCAATAATTTAGGAGAGAAACTCAAATCAAATCATGTGCAACTTTTTCAAATTTTCAATGCACATTTTTTGGATTCTTATGTTTCTTCTTAACCATGTTTTACCGAGATTGGTAAGTTCATATCATTTTTTTTTAAAGTTCATATCAAATTTTAAGGAAAGAAACAATTCCATGAGTATTAACAAAATATTCCATTACTTTATTAGAATTAATTTCAATTCAATATGTTTGATAAAAAAAAAAAAAATGTTGCAATAGAAAAAATTAGTTGCATTTTTAGAAAAATTTGATGATTCTTTTCACTTTGTTTTAACCAAACATTCAGATCAATTAATTTGGTAAAAAAAAAAAAATCAATGTATTGGTAGAAAAATTCAATTTCATTTTTTAAAAAAAGTAATGATTCTATTCAATATTATTTAATCAAAATTTTCAATTACAATTAAAAAAATGGCGTGAAAAACTAAAAAATCTCTACTTCTTTCTACTAAAATTTTGTTTAATAATTAGGATCCCTTAACTTTTTTTTTTATAAAAATGTAAATTTGTTAATTAATAACTAATAAGACATAAATTTAGATAAAATTTGAATACTCATGTAATATTTTACGTTCCAAATAATAAAACTAAGAATGTTGTACATAAGAAAATGTTCAATAATATATAAATTTTATTTTCACGTTATTTTTAATGTCGTAAGATAATTTAAATACAAAAATACATTTAAAAAATAAAGTAGGTAAATTATCTTGTGCATCGCACGAGTACTGTACTAGTATATATAAAAATGTAAACATATTTGTATACTTAAACATAAATATATTTTTTCGAAACACACTTATGTTTAATATAATTATATATGTTATATGAATTACATTTTATTTTATTTATAATACAGTAAATTTTATATAATTGTCACTAAAAAAAATTCAATAATTTCAAAACGAATATATTTACAATCGGATAATCATGATCAGTGTTTTAAAACACGTATAGCGTAATGCGTCGCGTTTTGGTCTTTATACTGCGTAGCATAAATAGCGTTGCGTGTTGCGTAAGCTATTTGAGTATGAATATTTTTATATATATAAATATTACAAGTATATTTGCATATAATAAAAATAGATGGTTGATTACAAAACTTATCATAGTATTTGAGTGACTTAAAAAATAACATCTAAGGATTAATTCCCACAATGTATAATGTAAATATCATCATAATATAAATATTTAATAATAAATCGAATATACTATAAAGTAAAAAAAATAACAACGAAAATATAATGAGGTAAGTCATTTTAATAATTATTTTTTTATTTAACTACAACTTAATTCTAACAATTGGAAATGAATTTTTTATTTTTTATTTAAATGTTAAATATCGAAAAATAAAATGATATAACAAAAAGGGACAAAAAATATTGCACTATTCAACTTAGGACTTTGCATTTACAAATCATTATCAAAATTTTTAGTTTTTAATTGTCATTTGTAAATATGACTCTAATCCCAAAAAATACGAGTTTTTTAATATTTTATTGTTCAAATGTAGCTGCAGAAATATAGTGCAACGTAGCGCACAATAGCGTAAAATAGCGCAAAATAGCGTAAGAAAGCTTGCCGTTTCAACATTTCGCGTAAGCTTTTCTGGAAGAATGCTAAATATATAAGGCTATGTCGCGTTTTTCCCAAAAAAAGCTACATAGCGAGCAATAGCGAGCTACATAGCGAGCTATTTAAAACAATGATCATGATATATGCTACTTGACAATTGAGACGCCTATAAATTAATGTTTGACTTGAGTACCATGGCACAGAAAATAGATAGACTATGAACCGTCTTATTCATTTATTTCTGCTTGGGTAAATTAGTAAATTAACCCCATTAATTGTCAAATTTGAAAACTCCCCATATTCCCAAAAAAAAAAAAAAAGAGTAGAACTTTTTGCCTCACATAGAAGCAGAAATTATATGGTGCCACATCATGTTGTGGCACCATAATATGGTGCCACATGTGGCACCATAGAATTTCTGCACATAGAAGGGGTAAATTGCACAAAATTCCCTCATAATATATTAAATCTGCGCGTTATTTTCTTCTAATTTAAAAAATGCGTCAAACATCCTTCTATTGTACTTTGGCCAGCATACGTTCCCCAACTTATGTCAGGGTGTTAACACCGTTAAATTTTGGGTGAAAATTCCGTTATGCCCTTGTTACTTGAGAAATCACACCCATCGAAATTGAAATCATTTATAACTTATGAAATTCACCCTCTCTTCCTTCTCTCTCTCAAAAAATTCCAATTTCAGCACCCCAATTTCGAAAGGTATGTCGAAAAGGGCCTCGTCGCTGACCGGATAGCAGGAGCTGAACCAATCAAAAACGGATTCGGATGTCGGGTCGTCGTTAAGAAGAGCATCTATTCGAATCAAACCAGAAAAATAGGTAAAAACTAAAAATAATGGTGTTCACGTCCGAGCTTAACAAGTCTATGGGGGAAGCGACGTACAACAGCCATGTCTGAGAATTGTTCAACTTGAAGTTGAATCCGACATGGGTCCAAATTTATAGAACATGAGCTTGATCCAGATGATGTTTTTTGATTGTCCAAATTACTCCACCAGTTTATTGAAATATTTGCCTTATTTTCACCTTCTTTTCTTCTCTACTTCCACTGCCTGTGCTTCCTGTTTTGCCCTCCATTTGCATCAGCCTCTTCAAATGTATTCAATTAATTAACCAAATAAATTTATATGAAAGAGCAATCCGGAATGGGTCTGCGGGAAGAGGAACGGTTTGGGCCGGGTATGCGGCGGCCACATGGCGGCATGGATGGGTGGCGGCGGAATTTTAGTGTAAAATTTTGGGAAAAAAGACCACTCAACATTTAAATGGTTGATTTTAAGGGTAAAAAGATAAATTCCTCGACTTTGGTATAAAAAAATGAAGAAAAAGTTGCACAGCACGCGCGTGCACACCACTTCCGTCATCTAAGACGGTTTAGAATGTTTTGCGCATGCCAAAGTATAATAGAATAGAAGAGAGTTTGACGCATTTTTTAAATTAAAGGAGAATAATGCACATATTTAATATATTACATGGAAATTTGGTGCAATTTGCCGGAAGCTTTAATAAACAAAATAATTACCACCAGCCAATTAAATAACCTTTCAATTTCAAAATAAGATGTAATATTAATTTGAAAAAAATTACTACATCATTTGTATGGAGTCGAATCGTTTTTCTTTCACGTACTACAAGAGAAATAACTCTATTATCTTCCCAATATTTATCATTTAATTTCTTTAATTCCCTCTATAAATATGTCCTTCTCATTACGCACATTTACATATTAAATTAAAAATTAAAATAAAAAATATAATCACCAGCTCACACACACACAAAAAAAAAGGACATCATGGCTTCCCACCAAACTGGAGGAAACAAAGGAAAATTGGCGGTGGTCGAGGAGGAGAACGACGAGGAACTTCCGGCCACCTCTCTGGCGGTGGTGGCGGTTTCCAGCGGCGCCCTCGTGATATTTCAAAACAATCATCCAGATCTTTGGTATCGTTATAGCTCCTCAAAAGGTGTTGGTGAAGGCCACCGCTACAATTTTGAAATGGATGATGTTGCTGGGGAAGGGAAGACCTCGTCCGGTTCTTGTACAGGGAAATTCAATAACCGAAAGGTTGATCCATCATGTTCTGGAACAGATGAGGGTTTTAAATTTTGCAAAAACCGGGCATTTGGTGCAGGAGCCGAACATGAGCCAGGAGTGAATTGGGAAAGCCCATTTTCGTATACTTTTCCTTCCTCCGAGAAGTCGCATAACGAATTCGATCAATCAAAAAGTGCTTCTGACGATGTGGAAGCTTCTGAAGTTGAACCATGTTACTCAAAATCCAAATCACGTGCACATGAAGACTCCTCTTGTGGCAAATCTAGTCAAGCAGAGGATGAAGCCACCTCTTATGTGAGTAAAAGGTCATTTGAAACTAAGGGCAATCTCCGTGAACCTTTTTCAGGTCATTGCAGTAAGAATTTCCCAGACTTCACCACGGATAATACCAATAGCAGAGAGAATTTAAAATCCAGGAAGCTGCATGAAACTGGGGAGTCTAATGAGATGGATAATTTAATGCCTAAAAGATGTGAATTAAAGAGGTCTACGCTATCTTCTAAGCAAACGGATCACAGTTCATCTCTTTTATCCGGTGATTTGGGAACAGAATTCCACAATATCGACAGTCAACAGACCCCCGACAAGTCATCATTCAGAAATTGTATTAATGAAGCTAATGTACAAGACGATAATGCAGCATCAAACGTTGAACTGGAGAAGGACAGCCGAAGTGGAGAAACTCTGCCTTCTGGTGGGTCATGCATACTCTTTGTTCGGGAAAAACAAAAGGAAACAGATGAATATAAAAGAATAATGGAGGCAGAATGGGCTTTCCGCAAACAAGCTCTTGAAGTTCAGGTTGCGTTTTGATACAGTTACTTTTTTTACTGCTTGTATTGCTTTCTAGAATATTTTGACACAGTTTAACTTTAGTACTTCTTGTGTTGTTATATAGGCTGAAGAAGCTAAACGTCTGAAGCGGTTGCAAAAGAGAAGAGTAAATGAGAGCAAGCGGTTGCTGGATGTGGAGAGAAGAACGAAAAAACGGGTAGAGGAAGTTCGGAATAGTGAGAGGAAGGTTTGTGTAATAGTTCTATCAAATTACTACAAATATTACGCAAGAGCGTTTGGGCGAGATGGCTTGGATCTCTTCCAGCTTAACCAGTGGTTTCGTGTTCGAGCCCTGGGAATGCAACAGTGTTAAAAACTCTTGAGGGAGAACTTTGCCGCCTTTGTGATCCTACCCGGCTCGATTCCGGATTAGTCGGTTCCCTGTGGATCCAGAAACCGAAAGATAAAAATTACTACAAATATATTCTCTTGAAAAATTATGAAATTCATTGCATTTCAGCAGTGTATTTCACTTTGTGCACAGATCAGAGTTTTTCTTGAACTAATTACCTTTGCTTTTAGGATAAGGAAAATATGAACTTGAAGGAGAGAATACGTGAAGAAGTTAGGACAGAGCTCAAGAAACTGGAAGGCCATAATCTGGCTTCACTGTTGCACTCGTTGGGGATTCATGTGGGTGGGTGGCCAAATCCTGCGCCACAAGAGGTTAGTTACACACGCCACTTTTAATGTTACCACTGTTAGTGATGCTCCTCTTAAACTGGAAAAATGCATAATTTTTCTTTAGGGCTAGATTTTATTTACCCTTCTACGTGAATAAGTTGAAATATACGTGTGTGTGTGTGTGTGTGTGTGTATAGGTGCAAACTGCTTGTAAACGAGCGTTGGTGACTTTTCACCCTGATCGAGCCTCACAATCTGATATCCGTCAGCAAGTTGAAGCCGAGGAGAAATTTAAGCTCATTAGCGAGCTCAAGGAGAAATTTTCGCTTTCTTTATGACACTTTTCATGTGTAGCCATCGTAAATTTTCTGGTCAGTTATTATCTAAGCTCGTGTGCTTCTGAGTGTTAGAAAGGTAATTCATTCACCGGATAGCCTTTTTGTGGCCAGAAGTGATTAGCAGATCGGGTTCTCTCTTTACCATATGAGTAAATGCAGCAAACTATTGTTTTGTTTGCCATTCTTTTTTCGACATACAGACAATTTCTCTGTTTTTGGCATGAACTGCCACTCATGACAGCAATTGTGTTAACATTAGCCTTTGTAAATTATTGGCATTTTGACAATTGTTCTCGGTCGATCATCTGTGTTTGATTTTGATGGGATTATGGTATGCATCCATCAGTATAATTTGAGTGGATTGAATTGATTCACGAATTATTGCAGATTTTTGTTTTTCTTCTTCTTGCAAGTCATCCTTTAAGATCAAAATTGAGAATTTTGCAATCAAAATATTTTCTATCACCTTAATCCTCGGCCGCCGACGAGGACGAAGTATTCATTCTTTCGAAAAAGAAAGTCCAGCAAGAAAATAAAGGATTTAGGATTGATTCTTACCAAAAGAAGTCAGAAAATTCTTAGAACTCAATGCTGTGATTGAGTTATCACTAACAGAAAAGTGCAATGGGAAAACATGAAGACAAGATAACAGTCACCGCAAAATCATTGGTGTATATCAGTCAGTCTTTCTATGGCACCACATGTGGCACCATATTATGATGCCACAACATGATGTGACACATTATAATTGGTACCACAATTATCACACATCATGTTGTGGCACCAATTATAATGTGCCACATCATGTTGTGGCACCATAATATGGTGCCACATGTGGTGCTATAGAATTTCTGATATCACAGTATTTTTTCAAAAATAATTATGCAAATTGGAATTAGATTTTCGATGAATAATATGCGACGTTTGTATGTCGCCTGTTTGTCGTACTTATTTCTGCAGAATAGAAAATTTCGAAAAATACATTTAGAAAAATTATCGGCAATTTATTCCGTGAGAGTTCTTCATTTATTATTATGTGATTATCATTCACCTAATAGCTGCAAGTTCTTTTGATTGTTTAAAATAAATTGGTATGCGACTACTTGTTGGCGGTGAACCCGTGATGGACTGAATTGTTCCCCAAATTGTCCTGTAATATTCGTCTCATTGTTTATCACACAATGTATTCGTACTTGCTCTAAGCGACACCTAACAGTCGTACAATTTATCGCATAATGTGTTAATACTTGTTGGGATAAAAAAAATTAAATTATTAGCAGCGATGTGAAGAAAATTAACACATTCAATTCATTATTTTTAAATATTTAATTTTTAAATTTAAATAATTAGTTAATATTTTAATTTTTAATTTTTGACCAATTAAATATTACCAAGTATCAAATCTTGATTATTGGTAATAAATCACATATCTTCTAGAAAATCTTGGGAAATTTAAATAGACCAATCAAATTATGTTCTACCATTCTTAAATTTAGTAGGATTGTTTCTCGTACACCTGTGTCAGATCCGGCCAATTTTTATTGGCACTAACAAACAAAATAAAAAGCATCTTATGCACATGAAAAGGAATCAAGTTTGGTTGGCACCGAGAAAAAAAAGTAGCAATATATGGTACAAGTTTTATGTGATATCCTCACTATAAATAGTGGGGGTCTTCAGCAAAGGAGAACGCACCGAGAAGAAGAAAGAAAAAGAGAGCAGAAACAACATTAGTTTCTGGAGTGAGTGTTATTTTTCAGTGAGATAAAAATAGAGTGTTTGAGTAAATCCTGTGAGTGTGGGAAAAATACACCAGGTTGGGTATCAACTCTATTACTCCTTGTTTAGGAGTGGGGTTCTCACTGGGTCACTATATTTTACATTTCTAGTGTAAGGGAGTGTGAAAAGAAATTGTAATTATCTTGAGAATATAGTGGAATTGTTCGGAGGTTGTCCCGTGATTTTTACCTCTATTTGGAGGTTTTTCCACGTTAAATCTTGGTGTCTAATTTTGCATATTTTATTTATTTATTTGGAATATTCTTAGTATGCTATGTGGTCGCAGTTTAATCTGATCTTCCACATCAGAAAAGAATTATTCCAGTATTATTGCAAGAGATTTTCTTTTGTCATTCTTGAGTTGCTGGGATTGGGATTATTGTTTACCATTTTACCTTGATATTTTAATTTACATCTTCCGTATTGCGCATCTGAGCCCAACAAGTGGTATTAGAGCCAGGTTGGGCTCTGTATCGACAAGTGTAAATTAAATGGAGGAGAACGTGGGTACTAGTGAAGCTCACAACAACAAATTACTCCATTTGGAAGCAAAAAATGAAGGACATACTTTTCTACAAAGATCTGTACGATCCTGTAGAAAAGGTAGACAACAAGCCAGATGATGTGAAGGATGACGATTGGAAAAAGTTACACAGAAAGGCTGTCAGTTTAATCCGACATGGGTGGATATCAGCATATTCCACCATGTTGCCACAGAGTCAAAAACGCATACTCTGTGGAACAAAATTGAACAAATGTACCAGAGGAAGACTGCACAGAATAAAGCTTTCGTCATTAGAAAGCTTGTAAATCTAAAATACCAGGATAGAAGATCAGTTGCTGAGCACCTGAATGAGTTTCAAGACATGGTAAACCAACTTGTTACCATGGAAATGAAACTTGATGAAGAGCTACAGGCGCTGTTACTTTTGAGTTCTTTACCAGATTGCTGGGAGATTCTGGGGGTCTCGTTGAGCAACTCTGCCCCTGAGGGACAACTGACTTTGACTCAAGTCAAAGACAATATGTTTAATGAAGAAACAAATTTTGGGCATGCAGATCATGCGGGACCGAAAATCTAAGAGATTATGGTTATCGCAAGAACGATATGTGAATCGAATTCTGGAGAGATTTAACATGGAATCGGCTAAGACGGTCAATACATCGTTGGCCAATCATTTCAAGCTCAGCAAACAAAGTTGTCCTAAGAGTCAAGAAGAAAAAGAAGCTATGGCGGGTGTTCCATACTCCTCGGCAGTCGGGAGTTTGATGTATGCCTTGGTTTGTACTAGACCGGATATCGCTCACGCGGTTGGAGTTGTTAGCAGGTATCTTTCCAATCCTGGGAAGGATCATTGGGAAGCTGTGAAGTGGATCTTGAAGTACCTAAAAGGCAGTGCAAATAAGTCCTTGAGCTTCGGCAAAGGAAACCCAGTTCTTGAAGGTTATACAAATGCAGATATGGCAGGTGACCTGGATAGTAGAAAATCTATTTCAGGGTTTGTGTTTACATTTGCAGGAGGAGCTGTATCTTGACAATCTAAATTGCACAAATCTGTTGCCTTGTCGACTACTGAAGCAGAGTATATTGCAATGACAGAAGCATGCAAAGAAATGCTTTAGTTGAAGAGGTTTCTTCAACAATTGGGAATGAAGCAGGAAAGGTACGTTATCCATTGCGATAGTCAGAGCGCATTGGATTTAAGTAAGAATGCGATGTATCACTCTCGCACGAAGCATATTGATGTCAGATATCATTGGCTACGTCAAGCAGTGGAAGAACAACAGTTCAAGTTAGAAAAGATTCACACTGACGAAAATCCTGCTGACATGATGACGAAAGTTGTAACAGGAGGAAAACTTCAGCTTTTTGCCGAGTTGATCGACATGGAATGCATGTGAAGAATCGCAGAATATTACCCTTTGGCCGGAGGGGGATAATTGTCAGATCCAGCCAATTTTTGTTGGCACTAACAAACAAAATAAAAAGCATCTTATGCACATGAAAAGGAATCAAGTTTGGTTGGCACCGAGAAAAAAAAGTAGCAATATATGGTACAGGTTTTATGTGATACCCTCACTATAAATAGTGGGGGTCTTCAGCAAAGGAGAACGCACCGAGAAGAAGAAAGAAAAAGAGAGCAGAAACAACATTAGTTTCTGGAGTGAGTGTTATTTTTCAGTGAGATAAAAATAGAGTGTTTGAGTAAATCCCGTGAGTTTGGAAAAATACACCAGGTTGGGTATCAACTCTATTACTCCTTGTTTAGGAGTGGGATTCTCACCGGGTCACTATATTTTATATTTCTAGTGTAAGGGAGTGTGAAAAGATATTGTAATTATCTTGAAAATATAGTGGAATTGTTCGGAGGTTGTCCCGTGGTTTTTTCCTCTATTTGGAGGTTTTTCCACGATAAATCTTGGTGTCTTATTTCTTGCATATTTTATTTATTTATTTGGAATATTCTTAGTATGCTTTGTGGTCGCAGTTTAATCTGATCTTCCACATCATAAAAGAATTATTCCAGTATTATTGCAAGAGATTTTCTTTTGTCATTCTTGAGTTGCTGGGATTGAGATTATTGTTTACCATTTCACCTTGATATTTTAATTTACATTTTCCGTATTCCGCATCTGAGCCCAACAACCTGTGGACTCACACATATAACAATTCATATTCATGATTTCAAGTTCAAGAACGGTAGAGATTCTTTCGAGATAAAATAGGGTAATCCATATTCCACACACAACGAACCTTTTTTTCAGGTGATTGCCATGGATAATGGTAATGTAGAAGAAGCTAAAAATCTGAAGCGGCTGCAAAAGAGAAGAGCAGCTGAGAGCATGCGGTCGGTGGATATGGAGAGGAGACAAAAACAGCGGATCGAGGAAGTTCGGAATATGCAGAGGAAGGTTTGTTTGTTTGTTGTATTAATTCTATCCATTAATTAATCTGAATTGTAAGAAACTGGGGAAAAACGGGTGCGGTCCCACTAATATGAAGCGCAACATGAGAAAGGAAAACTCATATGAAGCTCAAGTGGGGTTCCATCTCAAAACCAATTGGTGGAAGGAGGAGTAGCCCATTAGACTTATAAGGTGAGTCTATTTTCCATGTATGAACGATGTGGGACAACTCACAAGTGATAT